TTTTTTTGAAAAGTACTCTAAACTGTATAAATAATGTAAAATTAAATTGAATTTATTAGCCAATCAGACAAACTTCTACCTATGACGTGTGCGCACGTGAAAAATAAACATGATCCTGTTTTGATTATTCGAAAAGATCTGATTGGTACATATACGACGATCTTTCATGGTCTCACTGGGTAGCTGTAATTGACCAATTAAAGCAAACTTTTACGTACTTTTTTTTTTTTTTAACCATGTTTAAAGCTCGTGAATTTAGTAAGTTGTCTAAGTTTAAACAAAGAGATATCTTACGAGAGCTTAAGTCTTCCTTGGATGACTTCAAAGTTGGCCAGGAATACTATTTAAGACCAAGTCCTCAACTTTATCACCATTTGCTCGTCAAGGCTGAACACGATTTTATAAATCCTGGCTTTGAATTTTTTAAAAGTCTACGGCGAATCTTCGTTTGCAACATTTTATGGAAACCTAAAGAAATTGAAAGTTTCTTTATAGCTTTGGAACGCTGCGGAAAACACAATCCAGCTGAAATTTCACAACGCATCGGCACGAAAAGTGTACCACAGGTTATGATGCTTATTGAGCTTTTTGAACATGAATTAAATTTGGCGAAGGCTTGCGAGGCGATCTGCCCTGTAAATTATGCTGATATACCATCTGCTAGGGAGATGAGTAATGATTGGTTGAAGTTTGAGAAAATACAGGCTGAAATGATTCAGGATCAAATGAATAAAATTGAAACGAAACTGACTTTTGGGAAAAATATGCAGCCAATTTCTCAATGGGATGAAAAAAAGCTGGAATTATTTGAACTTGAAAATATATTAAAATTGATCCGAAAGTAAAAAAAAAAACAAATTAATGAATTGCATTAGTGTCATTCATAATTCAGGTTTAACTATAATGATTATGTTTATTTGTAGGTACACTACCGAAGATATTCTTGTTAATCGTGCATCTATTCTTATGCTTTATTATATACTACAAAATTGGTTACAAGGTATTGTTAAGAACCTTGTTGCATTAAAAGATCATTACCAAAAAATGTATATCCGAGAAAAACATGAGGCATGTAATATTGCTAATATCACGTGAGAAAATGTGAAAGGAAATGTAGCATATCGAAATTGACGTTCATGTTTATCTTAAGATCTCGGTATATGATGTATATCAAGCTTTACAAATTTCTGGATATAAATTCTCGAAGATACACAATCCGGACGATACGGACGAAGATGACGATCTTACAAGTGATGATTTTACAGATGATATAGAAGAATTTCAAGATACTAAGGACGTTGCAAATAATAAAATGATTGATTATGATAATAATATTGAACTTAAAGAACAAAAATTAGATGAATTGTATGAGAAAGCATTTTTGCGACTTGTTTATTCAACTGATACTGAATCCGCAAAAATCTCAAATGAAATAGAAAATTTGGAAGTCTTGCTAGACGCAGATTTGAAGCGTTATAATGGGGTTTTTGATGAATTATCTGATGAAGTATTAGATTCCTATTCTGAATGGGAGGATTTACTATATTCTGATAAATCACCACAATATTATGTTGATTATGATGATAATGATAGTGATGGTGATACTGTTTAATAAATATTTTTAAGCTCAAAAACATGCCGATATATTTTTTGTAAAAGCAGTAAACATGTATATTTAAGAATTTCTATTTGTATACTGTGTATACATGGTAATATAGAAAGTCAATCAGAGATGTAATATATAGTTATTAGATGTAAAGCAGCCAATAATGTAAAATTATGGCTTTATTTAAACATTGTTTACATTATTATAAAATTACTTTTTGGGTTTTAACAAAAAAAAATTTTGTTACATTTTTTTGTTATTTTTTTAATTATAAGCAAATAGTAGTTATTTAATATAAAGTTATTATTAGGTTCAATTTAGTTCAATTTAGATTCAGGTTTAGGTTTAATTAAACCTAAACTGAACTTTAAATTTTGAAGATTTTTGAATTTAAATTTGAAGTAAACTTTAAATTTATGAATTTAAATTGAATTTGAACTTAAAATTCTAGTTTAGTTTAAGTTTAGTTCAAGTTTATAAACATGTTCAAATTTTATAACTTATATATATTTTTTATATACAAAACAAATAACTTGAAATATTAAAATAAAATTGATTAGTAAAATTTTAAAAATTATAACAATTAATATAATTTTATTAAAATTATAAAAATTATTATTATTTTTTAAAATTTTACTAATTAATTTTATTTTAATATTTTAAATCATTTTGTTTTATAGAATACAAATTATTAATTCTTTTTAACAATTATTTATACTAACTTTTTACAATACAAACCTGATTATTACTTAATATTTTATTATATAACTTATTTTTGAATATCTAAGTAAAGTTGTTTTTGATATAATTTTACATTTAAGCAATTAAATTTTATATCTTTAAATTCTTTATTTACAGAGATATATTAATTAAATACTAAAATTCTTTTATTTATTTTATCTTAGAAATTTATTAAGTAAATTGTTCTTAGTTATTAAAATAAACAGAAATAACTAAATAATAGTTTTATTTTAATATATTATTTATTAAATTTAAATTAAATTTAATCAATTTATTAAAAAAATACTTAAAATTCTTTTAAAAATTTTTTATTTTTAAAAAAAATTTCTCTAATCTATTTTTATTTAAATCTGCTTAAACAGGATTACTAATTCATACTACACAAGATATTTTTAATATAACTTAATTACAAATTTATATTTTTTTTAAATTTATACAAATTTATTTAACATCATTTCTAATTTACAAATAGATCTACAAAATCTTAGATATTACTTATAATATTTCTTTAATTATTACTTTTTTTTATTTATTATATCTTTTTATTTATTATATTTTTTTGTTTATTATAGTTTTTATTTATTACATTCTTTATTTATTACATTTTTATATTATTTAAATCTTTTTAACTTAAGAATTTTTATATTAAACTTATATTAAAATCTGAAATAATATAATTATATTTATTAATTAAGAACTAAATTAATATAATTTATATAAAGATACAAATTATTAACTCTTTTTGATAATTACTTGTATCAATTTTCTATAGTACAAAACTGATTATTATTCAATATTTATTAAATAACCTATTTTTAAATATTTAAATAAAGTTGTTTCTAATATAATTTTATATTTAAGTAAATAAGTTTTATATTTTTAAGTTTTTTATTCACAAAGATATATTAATTCAACATTAAAATTCTTTTATTTATTTTATTTTAAAAACTTATTAAATAAACTGCTTTTTTTTTTTTAGTATTAAGGTGACCTCTTTGGTCTTTTGACTTTTATTAATTACTTATCGGTATTGTGGTTCAATGAACTACTACAGAAGAGCATACAATTGGTTTCATATGTAACTTTTCTATATTACCTATTTAAGGAAGTCTGCCTAAAGGTTCTCTACTAATTGCTATACCTAACATCTTTGCTTGAGTGTTCTACTTTAAACCCTCTGAACCTGTAATCTGTGTTAATATCACTGGTCATCTTAGATATACCAGATCATCATCCTCAACCTTAGGAATAATTTATTCTTGAGGTAAACCCCTTAGAGCCTTTTGTACCTATTTTTACAGCTGATCTAGGTTCACTATGACAGAACCAATACTTATGATCAGGGCTAACTATTAAACCATTATGCTCTTGTAGAGTTTACTTAGACCCCAGCATTTACTTCATAGCATAACTCCAGTACTTTAGTATACTCCTGCCTTTTGTCTAGCCTTTTTACCAAACTTCCAATTCAGATAGCCCATGTAGAACTATAACTAGTCTATTGGTATATCAGGTCAGCCTGATATCTTTTTTCTTCAGTTCATTCTAGCAGCCTAGTTGGTAGTACCTCTGAATTTCTCAACCTAAAGGTTCTTGCCCATTCAGCTATTGTAACTGGGTATTACGATCTTGGTATCTATTTTCTTGGACTAGCCTTTACAGTAGAGCCATTGAAGATCCAGCTACCTCTCTATTCAGGTTTTCCTAAATGGACTTCTTGTTATCCAATTTTAACAGATTTATACAGCTAATAAACTGCTTTTGCTTATTAAAACAAATAGAAAGAACTTAATAATAGCCTCATTTTGATATATTATTTAAATTAAATTTAACTAATTTATTAACAAAATACTTAAAACTCTTTTGTAAATTTTTTTTAATTTTTTAATTTTTTCTTTTTTGGAAGATTTCTCATAACTTACTTCTGTTTAAATCCATCCAAACAGGATCTTCTATTTAAATTCACTCAAATAGAATTACTATTTTTAATACAACTCAATTATAAATATATATTTTTTTTAAATTTATACAAATTTATTTAATATTACTTCTAATTTACAAATAAATCTATAAAGTATTATATACTATTTGTAACATTTCTCTAATTGTTACTTTTTTTTATTTATTATACTTTTTTATTTGTTATATTTCTTATTTGTTATACTCTCTTATTTATTACATTTATTATTTGTTATATTCTTATATTATTTAAATTTATATTAAAATCTAAAGCAATTATAGTTATATCTATTAGTTAAGAATTAAATCAATATGATTTAGATTATTTTTTAACTAAGTATAGTAACCATTTTGGTATTATAAATAAAAATAATAATTTACAACAAATTAACTCTATCTAATTTGCAGTTTATCTAACTAAATATTATAAAAAAAACAAATTTCATTATTTTAAAATATCTTATCAACCTTTTATTGTTTAATATCTTTGTAAAACATAATATATTTATTTATTTATTGTTATTATTAACTTCTTTCAAGATCTATAACACCTTTTTTTTTTATCAAATTTTGGCTTTACTACTTTTATAAATATAATTTTAAACTAATTTAAAAAAACTAAAAATATTATTTTTAACCATCTATTATCAAAATTTCATCATTTTCTTTTAATTATAACAGCTCATCTAAAACTACTTTTTTTACTATTACAAATCTTGAATCTAATATTGTAACTATTAAAGCTTATATACAATATATTTATATCTGTATTATTTATTATAAATTCAATATTTTATATGTTTTTCTCAGTAATAATAAATATTTTTTTGATTCTTTTGCCAAAATTTTATATAGATTTTCTGCTTATTCTATCTGTATTTCAAATTTTAAATTGAAATTTGCAACTTAAATTTAATCTCTTAATCAATAACAACTTATAATATTTTATATAGCTAAATTTGTTATTATTGACAAAGAAGAAAAAATCTAAATTTTTAAACAATTTCTTCAATTTCCAAAAAGAAAAAAGTTACAAAACAAAACAAACTCAAAATTTTACAACAAATACAAAAAAAGCTTTTTGATTAGTCTATAAAATTTTCTATTACTAATAAAATAAAACATTTTCCTAATTTTAATACACTATTATTTTAACAAATTTTAGAATTTATTAAGCTTTACTTTATCAATTTTGCATTAGAAAAAGTTACTAAATTGCAACTAAAGCATAACTAATCTTAAAATAAAGTCTTAAATAGTTTATTAAAATTCTAGCCAAAATTCAATCTAAGTTTTTTACAGATATTATTTATTAATATAATTCAACTATTAATATATTAGCTATTATTATATTTGATAATTTATATTTAATTTTTAAAGTTCTACTTCATAAATTTACTACTATTCTTTTTATCAAATTTAATTATTCTAAAATCTTTTTTTTTTTTTTAAATATTAACGGTGAGGCCATGCCTTTAACTTTATTGAAATTCAATTGAAGTTTTTAC